TCAGCAGAGTGTGAAAGCACATGTCTATAAATCCTAGCACTGGGGAGGATGAGATAGGAAAATTTTAAGTCTGAAGCCCTGGGTTACATAGCAAGCTCCAGGATAGCCTGGGCTAAACATAACGAAATCCTGTCTTTTTCATTTTTAAAAACTGTTTCTTGGGCTGGGCGTGGTGGCACATGCCTTTAATCCCAGCACTCGGGGAGGCAGGGGCAGGCACATGTCTATAAATCCTAGCACTGGGGAGGATGAGATAGGAAAATTTTAAGTCTGAAGCCCTGGGTTACATAGCAAGCTCCAGGATAGCCTGGGCTAAACATAACGAAATCCTGTCTTTTTCATTTTTAAAAACTGTTTCTTGGGCTGGGCGTGGTGGCACATGCCTTTAATCCCAGCACTCGGGGAGGCAGGGGCAGGCAGATCTCTGTGAGTTCCAGGCCAGCCTGGTCTCCATATGAGTTCCAGGCCAGCTGGGGCTACAGGGAGACCCTGTCTCATAAAGACCAAAAAAAAAAAAAAAAGTTTCTTTTGTCTGAATGTGTGCACGAACATGCTGATAGCATACATGCAGAGGTCAGGGCCTGCAAGAATTGGTTATCTCCTTCCACCAGTAGATTCCAGGGATTAGACTCAAGTTGTCATGACTTGGTGGCAAGTACCCTTAACTACCGAGCCAATTTTGCTGGCCCAAGACCCTAACTTTAAAAAAAAAAATCCAAAACCTTGGAAGACAAGACTCAGCAGGAGAGTGATCAGGAATCCCTTTACCAGCACTCAAAGGGAGTGCTTGAAGGTGCCCAAAAGAACACAGAGAAAGTAAAGAGCACCAAAAGCGCCAAAGTGGTGGGTGCATTAATTTCGTGGTCTTCTTGCACCTCTTAGTAGCAAATTCAAGTATTCTGATGGTTCTGGGATACAGACTATCCATACTGGTGTGACACAGATCAAATTAGACTTAGCTCAAGAAGTCTGAAGAAGTCACCTTTCTTTTTTTGAGTCTTACTATGTAGACCAGGCTGCCCTTGAACTTACAGAGATCACCTTGCCTCCTGAGTACTAGGATTAAAGTTGTACACTACCATGACCCACCCTTATTTCTCTTTGTCTGTTTGTGTAGATAGGGCTTTGCTATGTGGCACAAGCTGGTCTTGAACTTTCAGCAATTTTGGTGTCTTGGCCTCTTGGGTGCTGAGATTATAGATGTGCACACCATGTTGGGCTCAAGTCGCCACTTTCAAGGGAGATGTTTTAAAATAGGACCAAAAGTCCTTCAGTCACCCACAAAACCAGACATGCAGATCTGGAGGACTGAACTGAGTGAAATGATTTTGAGAAAAAAAACAACTCACTGCTAAAATAAAATCAATGTTGATTGTAACTATTTTTACTAACTGTGCAATTTACAGGACAGAGAGAGGACTAATGGGGGGTGTGCTTGGATTGGAGCTGGTGAAATGCTTAGTCATTAGAGCACATACTCTGCCTTCAGGCAACCAGCTGTGAACGCTGCCCTCCACATGTGGCCCTGCAGCTGTTTGAGTGCTGTGGTCTTTCGGTCATGAGACATCTGCCAGTACACATTATCTACCACGGCCTGGATCATCTGCTGTAGGTCATCCACTCCATTCCCAGAGGCTGCAGGGATGGGAACAGCCCCATCCAGGTGGGCATCTTCTTCAGCCTTTAAATCAGAGACAACATGAAGTTTACTCATGTGTATTTTTAAAAGAGCATTAAAAAGGACAACACGTGCACACTCACACATAAGCACACATGCATTAAAAAAAAGACAGCAAAATCAAGTAATTCAGTTATCTCTAATTATCATTTAGTTTGTGAATTGCTACAAATTATTCCTAACAAAATGATCCCCATGAAACAAGATGGCTCAGCAGGTAAAAGGCACTCACCACCAAGTTTGATGGCCTAGTTCAATCTTGGCCACATGGTGAAAGGTGAGAAATGACTCCCTCAAGCTATCCTCTGACCTCCACATAGGCACCATGGCCTCTGTATGTCTGTCTGTCTCTCTCATTCATAAATAAGTAAAAATAAAAAATAAATAATGATCCCTAAAAGAAATCTAGGTTTACATTACCTTCCTAAGGTTGTTGAACCAAAGGACATGCTGTATCTGACAGGACAAATGATGATATAAAAAAGCCTGGTTTTTGGTGAGTCAAGTCACTAGGATAAACAAACCAGGATTTCAATTAAATCTGATCATTTTCTCTGCTCTTTAATTAATTGAAAAAATAAAAATCTCATGAATTAGTTTATGGCTAATGAGAAGAAACCATAAAATAATAGGATTAGTTTACTTCCACCTCCCAGTCTCCCACATTTGCAAAATAAGTCATTTACACAAGGACCTTGTAACGATGCAATTCAATATTTGAAATAAGGGAATATGTACATATAGAACCTTTGTTGAAACAACAGTAAAGATGAGGGAAGTGCTTCACATCAAACTTGGTTTATACAGAAAACTCAACAAAACCAAACACCCCAAAGGATGTAACTGTATTTCTTTTTCTCTAAATATTTTTATTTTATGTATATAAGTGTACTGCCTACAGAGGTCAGAAGAGGGCATCAGGTTCCCCAGAACTGGAGTTACAGACAGTTGTTAGCCTCCATGTGGGTGCTGGGAATCGAACCCAGGTCCTCTGCAAGAGTAGCCAGTGCTCTTAACTGCTGAGCCATTTCTCCAGCTCCAGCAACTGTATTTCTAATCCTAATTTTTCACATTAAATAAAAACTTAAAGAGAGCATTCTACAGTTCACTGCAGGAAAACTGACAGTAAGTGCTGCACACCATGGAAGAGCTTTGCTACTGAAGCAATTTTAATGAGAAAATCAGGGTAAGTTCCACAGCGCACCACATGGAAGAAGATAGAATGCAGACCAGCTGGGGAGTGACGTCCATGATACCAAGGTGGGTCTGAAGCCTGAGCCATGGGTCAGCTGGGTGAGAATTCTGGAGAGGTGTCAGGGTGTGACAGTCTTCATGGCAGAGAATAGAAAATAACAAGGGGCTGTCATTTGGTGACATCAATGAAACATGATGAGACTGCACAAAATCTTCTGTATTCTGCCCAGAAAGGCTTAGTCTTACAAAAACATGAGTCTTGTGTGGAGACAATTCAACAGTCAATAAATTGCCACAACCTGGCTACTTTATTATGTGCTGTGAATTCCTAAGCGGGCAAGTCACTGCAACTTCTACCCCTGAATCCAGGGCACTGGTTTTACAATATGCTGGCAGCATGTTCTAAGTCTCCAGGCAGCCTTCATCAAAGACATAGGGAATATACAAAAGTCCCAACCTGTTTTCTCAAAAGACTGACATCTTGCTGGCACTCCTCCTCCTCCCAATGTGTCTGCAAATACTCTTTCACATTCTCTTTGATGTAAGGAAATAAAGTGTCCTAGGGAAAAAAAAAAAATAGTATTAGGTTTTATTACCTGCATGACATGACCTGTGTCTTCTATAACCTCACCTTAACTAACTGTAACAAATTAAACTAACTGTAACAAATTAAACTGTAACAAATTAAACAATGGACCTTTCAAAAAATATTTTATTTTATTTTTAATGTGTTTGAGTGTATTGCCTGCATGTGTGTAAGTGCATCCATGCCATGCAATGCCTATGGAGGTCAGAAGGCATCAGATCCCCTGGAACTGGAGTTACAGACAGCTGTTAACCGCCATGTGGGTGCTGGGAATCAAACCTGGGTCCTCTGTAAGAGCAGCCACTTAACCACTGAGCCATAGCCTTCAGGGCTAATCTGGTCCTGTTTTTGTCAATCAAGTTTTATTAAAACACAGCCATGCTCATTTACCTATACTGTTTCTGGTTACTGTGAATGACAGTGACAGAGTTGAGATCATTTGGCCCACAAACCTGCCTGGCCATTTATACAAGTCTGCCAGGTCCTGAACTACAATGCTGGACCACAGATAGGCAATGCCTTATTCAATGCATACCACAAGATATAATTCAAACATCTACTGGTGTTCAGGCATTAACAAACATTTAAAGAAAAAAATACAAGATTACCTATAGAGTACCCTGTAAGTGATAAGGAGCTGGGCATGATGGCTCACAACTGTAATCCAAGTAAGTACTCAGGAAGCTGAGGCAGGAGGACTGCCTCAAGATCAAGTTAACCTGGACTATATAGTGAGTTCCAGGTCAGTATAGGGTACAAAGACCCAGTCTCAAAGAAAGAAATTTTCTTTTTTTAATTTTATTTTTTACATGTATGAAGAGTATTGCCTGCATATGTGTAAGTGTACCATGTTGTGCAATGCCTTCAGAGGTATGAGGGTGTTGGATCCCCTGGAACTGGGGTTGTGGATGGTTGTTAGCCACCATGTGGGTCCTGAGTATTGAACCCAGGTCCTCTACAAGAGCAGTTAATGCTCTTAACTGCTGAGCCATCTCTCCAGCCCCAAGAAAGAAGTTATTTGCAAAGTAAACACTCATAAATAACCTGTCAGTAACTCATGCACTAGGAATGTTTTTGCATTGCTCAAAATTGTATTTATTTGGCACTGGAGACTGAACCTGGGGGCCCTGTGCATACTAAGCAGGAGTTCCATCAACATGCCACTCCCTCAGCTCCAAGATGGTCGAAATGTCTAACTGTACTTGCAAATTATCTACATCTTTTCCAAATTATATAATGGTACAAATCCTATAATGGTATAACAATTTTTTAAAATATCTACTATGTACAAAGATAGGCCAGCTGGACCTTGGGGGCATGGATTAAAGATAACTAAATCCCAGTCACCACTGTCAAGGGGCTAGTCATAGCGAGTGGCAGGCAAACATATCATACTGTGGTGCAATGGCTAAGGCAAGCAAAGTGCAGTGGGATAGCTTGCAGATTCAGAGTGCAGTGGTTCAGCTAGTCTTAGGAGACTAAAAATTCCCAAAATAAGTATGTGCTCTATGAGCACAGACCAAGTACTTGCTGCAGAAGGCCTTACATTTTAAGCAAATCCTATGACTAAGTTCAAGAAGTCTGCTTAAATTCATTCAAATATCTACTAATATCTACTAATATCAAATATCTCCCATCCCCTTTTGGATGGGAGCTCACCATGTAGCCTAGGCTGGCCTCAAACTTGTAATCCATACATTCCTGGACACTGAGATTCCTACCACATCTGGCTAAAAGATACTTTAATAAATGCTACCAATAAGAAGTATATAGTAAGTACTTTTTCTCTCTCTCTTTTGCTATTTGTGACAGGATCTTGCTATATGTAGTGCAGGCTGGCCCAGAATCCCCATTCTCCTGCTTCAGCCTGTTGAGTAACAGAATTATAGGCATAAGCTTCCATACTCAACCTCCATAATACCCTTCAGTTAGCATTAAAACTTTTTTTTTTAACCTAGCAAGGGAGGGGAAGGAAAGCCTGAAAGAAATGACAATAGAACCAACATCTAAACCAACAGTTCTCAAACTGTGACTAAGAACTCTTAAAGAGTTCTGGGGACTTTCTAGGGAACCTGTAAAACCAAAGCACTTTCATAGGATACTAAGATGTTGATACTGTTGATGGTGCTAATAATAAACCTTTGGAGATAAATCAGTAGCATGACTAATTTAGCAATTGCTGTGAGTCACCTTTAGGCAAGTATCAACCATTTCTGATAATTTTTAATTTATGTGTATAAGTGTATTGCCTGATGCATGTAGTGTACCACATGCATGCAATGCCCTTGATGGCCCAAAGAGGGCATCAGATCACGTGGAACTGGAGTTATGAACCACTGTTAGCCACCAATGTAGGTGCTGGGAACAGAACCCAAGCCTCTTCAAAAGTAGCCAGTGCTCTTAACCACTGAGCCATCTCTCTAGCCCTAGTTCCTGATAAATCTCAAGAGAACTATGAAGTACACTGGGGCTGGCTTTGAGAGTTAATAGCCTCACCTCACTTTTCAGTTCACTCCCTCTGCTTCATGTTTGAAGATGTGAGCTCTCAGCTTTGGCTCTTGCCTCCAGGCTGCCAGGCCTCCTGCCATGATGGTCTCTTATCCCTCTGGAACTATAAGCCAAAATAAACTCTCTTCCATAAGCTGCTTTGGTCATGATGTTTTACCACAGCAGCATTGAAAATAAAAGTAAGACACCTGCACAAGGCCTGCAAATCATGATCAAGCCAATCAAACTTCCAGCGTGGATGGGAGAGGGACACGTAAGGACCCATCCTTAGGTGAGGAGCTGAGGTTGTTAATGCCTGCTGGGAAAGGAGTCGTGTTTTTCCTGCTGCTTTGATAAAACACTGACCAGAATCAACTTAAGGGAGGTCACAGCCCATCATTGAGGGAAGTGAGGGAAGAACTTAAGCAGAGGCTTGAAGCAGAAATCATGGAGGAAGGCTACTGCTGGCACTGAGGCTTGTGCCTTGCTAGCTTTCTTATACAGCCTAGGGCTACCTGTCTAAGGATGGTGACACCCACAATGGGCTGGGCTCTCCTGCATCAATTAATATTCAAGACAATCTCCCACATACACACCACAGGCCAATACGATCTGGGCAATTTTTCAGTCGAGGTTTTCTTCTCAGGGTGCCCCATACCCATTCACCCATGAGCATACAGGCAGCGCTAAGGAGACTCAGTGCATTTTTTTTTTTTTAAAGATATTAAGTTGGAAGGAGGATGTGTTAGGGAGAAGGAGGAGGGAGAGGGGAAGAGGGGGAAGAGAGAGACGGAAAATCACAGTTCCCAGTAACAGCCATTAGGAAGGAATAAGGTTAGGATGTGTAATCATTAATAGATCAATATAAACAAATCTTTGTCTTTTCAGTGTACACAGTTTTCCCTGAGACCAAAATAAAGGTTTAGGTACACAGTTAGAAATTACGTGAGGCGAGTGTGTGTGGTGTGTATGTACAGCTGAAGACTGAATCTAGGGCCCTGTGCATACCAAGAAAGCACTCTACTGGAGTAATACCCTAGTCTTACAATTTTTAAAAACATATCTGAAAACCAAAATCCAACTGAACTCCCAAATTAAACAAGGAAGTTATTGTGATTTTTAATAGTGGGATTTAAGTTTACCTCCCTTCACATTATTCAGATTTCACCTACCCTAACAAAAATAAAGAAGTCATTCATTTGGTGATTGTCACATGGCATACCAGTAAAACTCAAAAGCATACAAAACAGTGTGACATGACATTCTCCTGTGTATTTGGCAAAGAAGCCTTATTAGGCTCAATAAAACTCAGTCTTGATCTGAAAAAGGAAAACGAAGACCTAAAATCCACAATTGTTTTTCGTGCAAGATTCATTTTTATTGCTTTTCTGTCTATTCTGAGTACTTAATTTTCCTATTGTGTTCCACACCATAGCCCTCACTATTCCTTCCCTCCCAAGGTCTGTAACAGGATTGCAAAATGGCTCCCCACTTGAGAACACCACTGACAAGATGCACACACACACAGCCACTTCTCTTCTAGGAATGTATCGCAAGAACTCATAAAGCAATGTTGACTGCAATAATGGATCTAATGACAAAGACACGGGAAACAACCTGGAGCTTTAGCACCTAGAACATAAATGAAGCAGGGCATGTGCAAACTATGCAGCCAGGTGTAGTGATACACTCCTGTAATCCCAGCACTCAAGAGGTAGAGGGGAGGACCAAGGCGTATCCTCATCTACATAATGAGTTTGACATCAGCCTATGCTACTTGAGACCCTGTCTCAAAAGTGAAAAACAATCAAGAAACATCAATAGCACTTAAAGTTAAGGTGGTAAAGTTACATTTATCAATATGAATACAAACTCCAATGTAGAAATAACATCTGAATACAAAACTAGATGTATTTAATCGTATGTGATGTTCTATTTAAGATCCGAAACACATCACACCTAAATCTCGGTGGCAGGTGAATTGACTGTTCCATTAGCCTTTATTTCTTTCTGCCTATTGAAAATATTCCACAATAACTAATAAACAAGCCAACTGTGATCCTTTATCCCACACCTGCCTTTCTTCCTATAGTGCTCTGCCCCCATCATTTCCTAACTCTCAACAAATGGAAGCTCCCAGTACTTGAAGAGATCAAGTACTGAAAACCTATAAATGAGTTGTGCTGTTCCAAAGTCCAATTCCTTATTATCAGTTTTACTGGTACCAAGGACAACTCATGAAGAATAATAAAACCCCAAGTGCCCAGGTCTCTAACATCTATTGGAAGGGAGGTAAGGCGTAGACTCCAGGCAGCTTCCCAGGCTAGGCTTCTGCCTTTTCCTAGTTATATAACTCATCCTTACTGAGACTCAGTTTTCTGGTCAGCTATATCGAAATGGTAACATGTGGCAAAGTCATGGCAGTAATGAGAGGTAGTTTATGGAAAACACCTTAATCACTACTGTATCCTCTAGCACAGATATTT